CAACCGCAACGGCAGCCTGTCCTATGACAGCCTGCTCAACCCCGCCTCGCCCGGTGGCCACGCGTGCCCCGCCCACCCCGCAGCCGGCGCGGCCAGCTACCGCTCGCCCTACCTGCACCCCGGGGCTGCGGGTGACCCACCGCGGCCCCCGCCCCGCAGCTTCAGCCCCGTGCTGGGCCCCCGGCCCAGGGAGCCCTCGCCGGTGCGCTACGACAACCTGTCCAGGACCATCATGGCCTCCATCCAGGAGCGCAAGGATAGGGAGGAGCGGGAGCGGCTCCTGCGCTCTCAGGCCGACTCGCTCTTCGGCGACTCGGGCGTCTACGACGCGCCCAGCTCCTACAGCCTGCAGCAGGCCAGCGTGCTGTCGGAGGGCCCCCGAGGCCCCGTGCTGCGCTACGGCTCCAGAGACGACCTGGTGGCCGGACCCGGCTTCGGAGGCGCCCGCAACCCCGCCCTGCAGACGTCCATGTCCTCGTTGTCGAGCGCAGTGAGCCGGGCGCCCAGGACCTCCTCCTCCTCCCTGCAGGCAGACCTGGTCAACAACAACGCCCCGGGACCCCGGCCAGGGAGTGGCTCCCACAGGTCTCCCCTGCGCCAGGGCCCCCCCTCCCCGCCCAGCACGCCCCGCTCGCCCTCCTACATGGGCCCCAAAGCCGTTGCCTTCATCCACTCGGACCTCCCGGAACCGCCGCCCTCGCTGGCTGTGCAGAGGTGGGTGCTGGGGACTCCGCAGGCTTCCTGGCAGGGGGCAGTGTCTGGCTGGCTGTGGGACCTCGTGGCTGAGCAAGTGCGGGTTGTCCGGAAGGCCTGAGGCCACCTGTGGGGTGGACCTTCCCTGCCTGGGGGGTTGTGGGGTGGACCTTCCCTGCCTGGGGGGTTGTGCCCCTCCAAGGACACCCTGGCATGTCCCAGGGTGTGGCACGATTTCCAAGCTAGCACAGACCTGTGCCTGGGGTCCCCCAGGCCTTCTTCCTCAGGAGATGGTGCTGCTGTCCCTGTTCAGGAGGGTGGGCTGCTGTCCCTGTTCAGGAGGGTGGGCACGCAGCTCCCTGCTCAGAGATGGGGACCTGGGCCCCCACGGGACATAGCAGCATCTTCGGGGCATCACCCACCGCCTTGAGCACAGGCCAGGGCAGGGAGTCTCGTTGTGGGTGTAACAGGTCCAGCAGGTGGCAGCTGCAGAGGCAGGGATGGCAGCTGAAGGAGGGAGGGCCTCCTGCCCTCATGACTGGGCAGCGAGGTCGTTGCTGGGCAGGCTTTGGGGCAGGAGGGCAGCCCCTCGTTTTCCCAGGAGGCAACAGGGAAGGGGCCGCACAGGCATCACTGGGCTCCCCAGCTCAGGGCACCAGGACCAGGCAGAACCAGGGGCTTGGCTGATGGTGTCCACCTGGCCGCCCCATGCATGTGGTCTTGCCAGTAGGGGGACTAAGGGTCCTGGGGTGTGACAGCTGTTCTGACGTCTGTCGGTCCTGTGACAGCACAGCCCTCCCCCTATAGGCTCGGTGTGGCCACCCGTCTTCTGGGTGGCACCTTCTGAGCTCAGAGGCGTGGCTAGCCAGGGCTTCGTCTGCATCATCTGTCCTGTTGCCTCACTGGCCTCTGTCCTGCCTTGGTCGGTCCCTTGTTCACCGTGTGTCTGCATGTATGTGTTTGCTTTGATGCAGGGACCACCCTCAGCTGAAGAACCCCCCAAGTAAGCTTAACGGGCAGTCCCCGGGCCTGGCCCGCCTGGGACCTGCCGCCGGCCCCCCAGGGCCCTCCACCAGCCCTGCCCGGCACACACTCGTTAAGAAGGTGTCCGGCGTGGGTGGGACCACGTACGAGATCTCCGTGTGAGGAGTGACAGCCACCCATCCGCTGTGGCACCACGGGGACCGGGACCCCCCAGCGGCTGCCCCCCACCCCCCGACTTCTCTGCCCTGACAGAGGAGGAGGCCCAGCAGGTGTGGACGCATCAGCAGGAGGGAGAACCACGCCTCCACGAGTCTGTCCCTCGGTCTCCACCTGTCCATCCACTTATCTGCTCACCAGGGTGCGGCCAGGCCAGGGGCCACCAGCTCCAGGATCTGTGTGGGTGCCCTTGCTCCCGTAGGCTGGGCCTCGAGGGTCACGGACCGCATCTGCGTGGACTGCACCCATGTCCCCGCGATTGTCACCAGGCCAGCCCCCACCCAGTCCCTTTATAGAAGGGTCGCTGTGGCTCAGAAATGGACAGAGGGGCCTGGGTCCCTGGCCATCCTCCGGACTGAGGGCCCACCACCTGGCTGACCCTCACCGGCCGCCTTTCAGGGACCTGCTGGAAACTTCTAGTCTGGTGAGGCCGCTGCTTCTGCGGGGAGGCCAGCCCTGGCCCGCGGCCACCCGGCTCCAGGGCTACTCTGGGGTTTGACAGGTGGATGGACAGACGGACAGACTGCCAGCCGTGGGTGGGGTCCTGGCTCCATGTGTCCCGTCTCGCCCAGCTGGTGGGCGTGTCCCCGTGTCTATGCGCTGAGCTGCCATGCCACGCCCCATGTGTTAAAGCTCGGGGCCCCGCGGCCCCACTGCCGGGAAACTCGCTGTCATTGAAGCCTTAACCTCTGCTTTATGCTCTTGTGGTGGCACCGGGGGCAGGTGGGAGCAGGCACAGGCTGGACGCTGCGACAGGGGCCTCTGAGACCAGGAGTCCCTGCCCTGCCAAACGAGATTCCCTACCCCAAGGCATGCAGCGTCGGGGCGCCAGAGCCCCGGCGTCTGCGTGGGAAGCACATGGGGAGGGGGTCAGAGCTCTGCCTGGCGCCAGGGACCCGAGAGTAAGCACACAGCAGCGTTTGCTTGCGTTGTGTCTGTTTTATGTTTTTATATCTACATCTATATATCTATAATTTTATTAAAAAAAGAAAAAGAGTCATTTTGATCCTTTCCTTGAGCAAGGCCAGGGCTGTTGCTGATACTCAGGGGCTCTGGGGTGGGGGTGCGGGGGGGGAGAGCCACCCAGGCTCCAGAAGAGGTGGAGGCCGGCAGTATGGGATCGGACGTTCCGTGTGGGCATTTCTGCTGACTTAAGCGGAGTTGGAAGCCTGGGAGGTGGGGGCTGGCCCACGGGTCTTTGGCTGACGAGCGTGCGGCTCCCCTGGGTCTGCGTCATTCCTGGCAGTAACAGGGCTTTTGGAGAAAGACTGGGGCTGCAGCTGCCCCCGGGGCCCCCCAGGATCCCAAAGGCTCGCAGGAGATGGAGGAGGGGATGTACCCGGGGCCACCCGCCGGCTGGGGGCCCTGTGGTGGCTGTTGCCATGACCTGCAGCTGCATTTACTGGCCCTCCACCTCTGCCTGTTCAATGTGTGGGGGGAGGCATCGGGAACGCACAGCTTTTCAGGACTCACAGCTGGGCAGAGAGGGGGAGGCGGGGGTTGGCCCCCTGTGGGGGGTACCCCAGACCTTGGACCCCTGCACTGGTCAGCCTCATGCTGACCTCCACCTTTCTGCTTCTCTCTCATGGGACGCTGCGGCCCGCAGGGGGCGGATCGGCACTTATAGCCACGGATGGGGGCGTCGTGGCCTGCCCAGGGTGCCCCCCGGCCTGCACCTGTGCCGCCTCGGCCTCCCTGAGGACCGCCCACTGCTGCAGGTCCCCTGGAGCCCCGCTGCCGGGGTGCTTCCCCGAGGAGCTGGGTGCCGCCTGCACATGGCTGCCTCCAGCCTTTTCCCCCGCCTCTCGGGGCCCGGGCGGGACACCAAGTAGGCATCAGTTGGGAGGCCAGGCTGCCACGGACCCTGGGGGTGTGGGCTGAAGGGCCAAACCTTGACCGACTCCCTACCCACCGGGGTCCGTGACCAGGTGCCCGCCCACCTCAGGAAGTTCCATCTGCTGCAGGGGGTCCAACACCCCAGGTGGGGGCCCTGGAGCTGCTGGGACCTGCACGGCCTTCCTAGGGTGTCACGCCATCACCTGACCTCCCGGCTTGACCAAGCGCTTTAGACGCCACTTCCTCCCCGGGAAGCCCAGGCCTCTGTGTAAGGCTGGGGTGGGGGGTCTCAGGTTGCCCCGCAGGTCACTGCACTCCCCCTCCCCGAACCCAGTGCAGATGCCTTAATGTCCTGGAGCCGCCAGCCTGCTGAGCCGTCCAGGCCCTGCCTGGGCAGGAGGAGACCAGCCGCCCAGCCCAGTGAGCCCGCTCTGCCCAGGCCCTGCCCGCAGTCTCCACTCCTCCGCTCTCAGGTGGACACGGGCGCTCGGCACCTTTCCCTGCTTTGGCAACAGCCCTGCCTCTCCCACTTGGGGGTGAGCAAGCCACAGAGCTCCTATTCTAGAAGGTATTCCCGGCCCCAATTCAATGCCCTAAATAAAATGTTTGGTGTTCACCTCCATAGCTCTCTCCACCAACGTGGTTCCCTGTCCTCTGAGCCTTGGGCAGTGCCAGGAGGCCGGACTGGACAGGGACCCTGGGTTGAGGAGGGCACAGGCGTGGGGCGGGCGGTGGTGGCCGGGTGGGTGGGTGTGGGGAGCGTGGGGTAGTCTACTGGACAGGGACTGGAGTCATGTGCGAGGTCTGAGGTTCGTGCTGAGAACCCGACCCCCGATGAGGGTGAAGGCCTGGGGATGCCCAGTCCTCACTCAGTGGAGACCCCCCTGGTCACACCCTCTGCTCAGGGTCCTCTTGGTGCCAGGGGCAACCTGGGGGCTTGCTGTGGAGGGGCTGCCATCCAGCAGGCAGGTGGGGCATGAAGGCCGAGGTGGGGTGCCACCCCGAGGGACCCCACTTTAAGATTAGCTTCAGGCTGCAGTCAGGTTCCCCCCATCTCCATGGAGACAAGCTCAGACGCTGTGTGTGTCACCACTGTATGTCCAGCCGCAGGCCCAGCCCTCCGGACAGACCCCGCCGCCACCCTTCTCCGAGGCTCCTGGCAGGACGGTGTGCACGGCAGTGCTGCGGGCAGGGGCTGGCTCGGCTGCTGGGCACCCGGGGCCGCGCTGGCCGCCTGGCCTCCTCCTCACTGGGGCCTCTGGGCCTCCAGCCTAGAAGGGCAGGAAGTCGTCCACCTCGAGGCGCAGGAATGGGCCCAGCAGGGCCCGGAGCTTCCAGACTGCAGCGCGGCTCAGCAGGGGCGGCACCAGCCCCTCGAAGGGTGTGGGGTCCACCACGTACACGTAGGCGGCGGTGCAGGCCAGCAGGGCGCCCAGCAGCAGCCTCAGGGCCAGCAGCCTGCGGGCGGCGGTGGTCAGGGGGCAGGGGCACCCGAGGGGCAGCCCCGGGGGACTGGACTCTGCCCACACACTCACGCACCACCTACCAGAGCTGGCCTTTGAAGCCCTCGGAGCATCCCAGCTGTGGCAGCGCATTCTGCGGGGGGAGCAGCCGGTCAGAGCCTGCCCTGCCCTGCGGGATCTGGGTGCTGTGTGTTTCTCCTCCCCAGGCCCAGGACGGGCACCTGCAACCTTGTCTCCCCGGTGAATCTGACCACGTGGCTCCTGGTGGGGCTCCCACCCTGGGGCCTCTTCCACTGCAGCCCACCTCTCCCCTCCCCAGTTAGGGCCGTCAGGGGGGGGAATCGGGAGAGGGGCGGGGGCTTACTGATAAGCACAGGTCCTTCCTTGCCTGGGTGCGGCACTGGGCGCGATCCCTGGGGGAGGCGTACAGTCAGGGCCATGGGCACTCCCTATACCAGCCTGGCACCACCCCTGGTCTGGTGCCACGGAACTGGGGAGGGGTTAGGGATTGGTTCATCCCATCCTGAACAGCACACCTGCACCATCCCAGCTCAGTGAGCCACCCTTCCCCCCAGCCCCCGACCACACACATCACCCCAGAATCTCCAGCTGAATGTCTTCCATCTGGTCTAGCACGCCCCGGATATCCTTCTTGAGGTTCTAGGGGACAGAGGGGCTCAAGAGTCCTGCACCCCTGACCGACGCCCTGCCTCCCCCCTCCCCTCCCCCACTCATTTCCTGCCTCCCGCATCCTCTAGGTATTGACCTACCTGGAGCCCGGTGGCCTGGTTGTTCAGGGCCATGTGTACCTCGCCACACCATCCCACACCTGGTGGGGGAAGGCTAGTCAGGCCCAAGCTGTGCCCTAACCACGTGGGCCCCCAGCACCCC